TGGGATGGCTGCAGTCAGAGCATCGCTCTCCTTTTGGCTGTCAGTCCCAGGGGAAAATCCTGGAAAAGAAAACCCAGCAGTTCCACTGGGACCCAGTCCTTGATTCATAGAATCATAAAGGTTGGAAAAGGCCACTAAAGTCATCCAGTCCATCCATCAGCCCATTGCCACCATGCCCGATAAACTACATTCCTCTGTGCCACAGCTCCATGTTTCTTGAGCATCAGCAGGGCGGTGACTCCACTACCTCCTTGGCAGCCTGGTCCAATACTTCACCACTCTTTCTGAGATTTTTCTTAATCTCAGAAAGAAATCACCCTGAATCTCCCCTGATGCAACTTAAGGCCTCTTGTACTATCTGTTACCTGGGAGAAGAGACCGACCCCCACCTCACTGCAACCTCCTTTCAGGCAGTTGTAGAGAGCAATAAGGTCTCCCCTGAGACTCCTGCAGTGTAAACAGCCCCAGTTCCCTCATCTGCTTCCCGTAAGACCCTTCAGAACTTTGTTGCCCTTCTCTGGACACACTCCAGGGCCTCAATGTCTTTCTTGCAGTGAAGGGTCCCAAACTGAACTCCTCAGGCACAGAGGACACAGCTGCAGTCCGTGCCATCAGGCCTCAGGCTGGCACCCAAAATGAGACCACGGCCAGGGGAAAGTCCTGGGTGCTGCAGCAGGAAAATGCTTAAGCAATGGCTGTCAAGATGTGAGAACGTCCACCTGCTTCTCTTAACTTAAACAACAAACCCCAAACAAAACCAGCAACAACCCAACCACCCAACCGCACAGAAGGGCTTTCAGGGCTTTGGGCTGCAGCAGCAGGATAGGGGCAGGTCCAGCCCAGCACAGGGACAGCCCCACAGCAGAACGGCTGCACAGGAACTGTGTGCCCATGGAGCTGTGCCAGGGCCTCACGGCAACAGAAGAGTAGGCAAATCCATTCAGCAAAGCACTGTCAATGTGCCTAAAGAAATACCTCAATTTTCAGCCAACTTCAGTTTCTGGTGTTGAAGGAGCACGCACCTTGGTTCAGTAACAGAAGGAGAAGGTGGGGACAAGACAGCAGATCCCAGCAGGATTTGGGACCTGAGGCTGCAAGCCCCATGGCCCCCTCTGGAGCTGCAGCCAGCAGATGACTCACTGGGCTTTTCCGAGGCACCCTCCTCAATCAACAGCTTCTTTGCTCTCAGATCCCAACCGACAGCAGTAGGACACTGCTGCCATCAGGTACCCGCACACACAGACATCCCCCTCCCCGGCTTCTGCAGCCTCAGCTTCCTCAGCCTCCCCTCAACTCACTACCCTGAGCCCTCAGCATCCTCACGGTGCCATACCCACACCATTACTCATCCAGACAAGAGATTATGCCACGCGCTATGCAAGTGGCAACACCAAAAGCCCAGCTTCATCAGCACATACCTTATGGGGCTGAAGTTTTTCAGCAAAACAGTGAAAATAATGTAGTTAAACCTGTACTACTACATTCATGGAGACTGTTTTCAGAAATTCTGGAGGCTTGGAAAGCTCATCTGGGAAGAATACTTAAAATCAACTCCCAAATCCTTAAGTGGTCATCTTTCCACACAAACCACAGCCAGGGACACATCTCAGAACTCAAAGTCCCTCAGAGGGAGCCCCCAAGTCTCATTTGTGAGGACCTGGGCTCCATGTTATGTGAACTGCAATGTTTGTGTCAGGATAAGAAATGAAAATAATTTAGCAGTTATTAGAGCTGTTAAGGACAAACACCCTATTATTCGCCCGATGCCAGTACTACTTCATCCATCTCATACCTTAACACTCGTAAGTCCTGGTATATAAAATCCAGAGCTCTGGTAAGTAGAAATTTCCCAGGATAGGCAATGTCATTTCCAAATGGAATTTTTAGCAGAAACTAACAGCTCTGGGGAATGCTGGGAGAGACTCAAAGAAAGCAAGAGGAGAAGGAGCAAACCACACAGCTCACGTTTACATTTTGTCCGTAACAAGGCAGCTGGACAAGGAAAAAGGAAAAAAACGCAACCAAATGAATGCAGCATTTCTCCAAGTGAACAGAGAATGTGATTAAAGAAGCCCATTCATTTCCCATTTAAGAATGCACATACCTAAACTTACTGTCTACTCTTTGCAACTAGAAACAATCAGGAAAAAATGGTTATGCCTTAGTACAGGCTAAGTACTCCACAAGTCAAAGAGCAGAGAAAAACCCAAATCCCAGAGACAGAAAATCTCTTGTTCACATCCTACTCCACGATGAACAAGGTAAATGAGAAGTAGAATTCTTTAGGCCCCTTCTACAGGCTCACCCAGGGCCCTACATTTTACATAACTGCCCACAGATGCAGAAAAGACCATTGCCTTGATGTTCACCAGCATTCAGAGCAGTTAGATATCCAACACATGGCACAGCCAAGTAGGTACCTCACTGCATCTTTAAGCAACTCTGTATCTATAGGGCTTGGCCCCAACTACAACCGGCTCAATCCTCCTGCTTCTCCATTTGCACTACTGTAAGAGGAAAATAACCCTTCCCAGGGCTGGGAGGCTTACCTGCCTAATGTATGCAAAGCTCTTTAGCATTTTCCTCCCATCCCCTCATAGATGTGCAAATCACTGTACCATTACTATTCCAGGATAATGACTTTAATGTGATGACTTAAAGAAGAAGGCCTCTCAGCAGGGTTATTTCCATCTAAAGGCTGCCTCACCCCGGTGCTGGCTGGGGGATTCAATTTGGACAGCATGGTTTAGGGGCCAGATTTTGCAGTAATCTCTTTGTTTCCTGCCCTATCTCAACCATACTGTGATACCCTCTCAAACAAGGAATTTGAAAAAGGCACTGGAACAACATGAAAGTGAATAAAAGACTTTGAAATTCATTGTTTAAGCCCGAGTCTGGAATCTGGAGAAAATACACTTTTTTTTCCCCCCTTCTCTTTAATGGTTGAGTTAGAATAAACCTTACTTATTTGGCTCTTCACGTATCCTACTCACCCAGCACAATTCACTCCTGACCAATGAAATGAGACACAGATCAAACCGCTTAGTCCAAGATCTTCACTTCTCATGTGTGATTTATGCCACTCTGAATGATGTCCTTGAACACTACAACACAGCAAAGATGCTGACGACACAAAGCCTGTATTTATCCTGGAAGTTGTCTACATGGAAGTGTCACAATTTGATGATAAACACATAAAATAAGCAATGTTTAGGACATCTTAACAAGAGCAGCTTCTCTCAAATGCAGCTTAGATTACTGGAGAAATGCACAACCCACTTCATCAATGAAGCGGTCGATTCAAGTCACTCTAAAACAAAACAGAAATCATTTAAAAAGAGATTTTTTTTTTTTTTTACAACCTAACAGAAAGAAAAAAAAAAAAAAAAGCTGTCTTCTCCTTCTTTCAGTTTTAGATTCATGACATGAACTGACAGAACCAAATAATGAAATGGCACGCACAGAAGTGTAGTAGTAAAATGAAGACGTCTGGAATTTAAGCTATCATCTTTCTCCTGACTTCATGCATTTAGGAGTTCAGTACAACATTCAGACCCATGACTCATTTCTGCACAGATTATTTTATTGTAACTCTCAAACTAGAAAACATTTATCAATGAATATTATGTATTATTCTCTCCCTCCCTAGCCCCAGCATAGGTAAATTTACACTGACGACACCGTTCACGTTATTATAATTCAGTTAAATGCTGATAAATCTATTTTCTGGAGCAGCTTCCTGCAAGGTCAGCTTCAAAGGCCTGCATACAAGTGGATAATTTTTTCAGACTTGCATGAAAAAAAATCATTTTCATTACTGTCTCCGATGGCAAAATGTACCAGAGGCAGGAAATGCATCTCTGGAGTGGCAGCTACTCGCAAATCTTCACTGAAGTGGAGAAGTGAGGAGCACCAAAGCTAAGAATCAGAATCCTCTCCAAGGGCTGTACCACACACACCATGTGAGTGGCTGAAATAATTCCACTTGCATAACCTACACCTTGCAAAGACAATGTGAACAAGCTTCTGACATGTAACACAATTACAATAGCAAGGAAACATACTAACACCCAAGGTAGTTTTCTCAAATCAAAAGCAGGAAACAACTGTGACAGCAGTAACTGCCTGTAGCAGCACTGGGTTTTTACCTTCTCATTACTATTCTCCAGAGGGAGCATTCAAGATGATGACTGCACACATCTCTGGGAGCAGAGCATGCTAAAGCAAGGCACACCCACTGAGTCTAATGATGGTTTTTCAGACTGCTTCTGTTTTGACTGAAGAACATCCCATCACAAACATGCAGCACTTTTACAGACATTCACTGAAGTCTACAAAAATGTGGTTTTTGTAGATGACTTAAAGCAATTCCCTTTTTCTTTTCTTTTTGCAACACACTCAGTGTGGAAACTGGCTGTAAAAACAGATATTAAAGTTTTGCTGCAGAATTACAAACACCTCTAAGTGATGAAAACCTTAAGAGGAAAATTAACATGAAGCTACTGTAGTGAAAGTCCAGATCAAGAAACACTAATATTCCTTCTAAGTTGCCTGCATTCCTATAGCAAACAATTGCTATAAATCCTGTTAGTATCCTTACAATCTTTTGTAGTGATAAAACTGATACAAGCAGACCTGAGGAAATATATCTCAGGCATAATGTGAATAGCACAGTTCAGTGGGAAATGACTTTCAGACAGGGTATCTGCAGTCCTGTGGCTGTGACAAATATACCTCACCATAAAGTTTTTGATAAGAATCTATGCCTGAGAAAAGAACTTCTTCAACATAAAAATCACACGATACTTAATGTTTAAAAAAAGAAACAAAGCAAAGCACGCCTGCATTGCCAATTTATTTACAAGCATCCAAAATAAACAACAGCATTGCTTGCTTACGCTTACCTATGTGAACAACAGCTGAACAGGTAACAGTTGTTATAACCACAGTTAAAACAAAAACTTGTGATCATTAAGTAATAACTGTAACTTTAGGGCAAAAAAAAAAAAAACAACAAAAAAACCCACAGCTCTGATAAGATTTTGTACTTATAGTCTATACCAGAAATAACTTTGAATCTAAAGCATTAAGATACGTTAATGCAAACAGATTTTGTTCAATCATTTTACAGCTAGATCAATGTAAGAACCAAACGTAGATGTGACAGATATGATGAAACTACACAAATTTTCACGTGAATTCAGCTCTGCTACATACACTGAGCACAAGTTATTCACAGAACTGAAAGAGTCAGCTTTTCTTTACCGCTAACTTAGTTATAATAAAGAAAAAGCCAAACCCAAGCAACGTTACTGCTCCCATTTTTACCAATCTTTTTTCCAAGGTGAGTGATTTTTCTGGAAACACCACTAGGCTGAGGTCACTCCTCTGCTCTTCTTTCTGAGGCAGATGTTAAATCATGAAAAAAACACAACAGAAAAGGTTAGCGTGAAGGTTTCTGAAGTGTGTGATAAAGTGTAACTCTGGATTCTCAGGTCTGAAGTGCCCCTTTCTAACTGCCTTAATTACCTGCGCCTTAATTCAGTGGAAATAAATATGCACAAACCTTTATTTTATCTGATGCTCAGTGGCTCTTTATGTAACACATTATAGAAAACAAAAATCATTTACAAACTGAATTCCTCTGGAGTGAAACATACTGCCAACATGTGCTAAAAAAATCCAATACCAAAACACTTAAGCTTTAATCATCCAATATTTAAACCTTTTTTTTTGTTACTAAAATATTTTTTTTCAATTTAATTACAAGAATAACTGTTTATTGAAACAGAAAGTTAAATATGTAACACAGACCGAGCTTTCAAGACTTTTTAAAATTGAAGTGACAGGAGAAGTATCTCACAAATGCCTGCCCAAATATCTACTGAAGTTGAGTGGAGCCTTGCCATGAAGTGCAGCAGGGCTGTCCTGCTTCCCTCCCTTACTTCATAATGCTTGGCAGGCCATCCCACTTTAAACATCACTTACAAAAATTGCATGTCATGCACTTAACACGCATTGCAAAGAAGTACTGTTATGACTAAGCTCAGCAAGTGTATGTACATCATTTTAAAAGTAATGCCTCTTATTTACTTCCACGGAAACTCCAAAAGCAACAAAGAGCACGGTAACAATACTTGATAGAGCAAATTCCCAGCTACAAAACACTATTTTTCAACTTAATCACTGCCAGTAGCTGTGCATTTTCACCAGAAATGAACAAGAGTCTCTATGCTGCACTCCTAACTATCCACACCAGTGGAGGTGGCCCAGTGCCACAGTCACCACTGTTGAAATGCACTGCCTCACTGTGCTCACATCTGCTGTTTGGTGTCCATGAACACTCAACAAGCAACAATGAACATCAGTGGGTTCCATTTTTCCCCACATGGAGGAATTCAGTGACACAACTTTGCTTCATGTGCCCTTCTATGTCAGATGCCATTCTGTCAGACTGCCCCTCTGCTGCCATCTGTCACATGGCAACAAATGTAATGGGATACTGGTGGGAAGGTTCAACCTCTACTGCCATCCCACCAACATCTGTCTCTGACTCAGGGGCTGATACAGTAAAATATTACTAACAGAGCAGCTCTGTTACTACCAAAGATTTAGATAAAGGGAATTAGCACATTGCTATACAAGAGGTTTCACAGTTTCATTTAAATTCACAGTTTTCATAATAAATGTTTCAGAGCTCTCCAGTGATTCTGAAGCGGTCCATCATAAATTAAGAAATACCAAAATGCTTTGGATTGAAGTCCTCATCAGTGGAATAAATAACACGCTACAGTATTTTAATAGAACAGGAATTAGATTTTTGAAATAACTGGAAGGCTAATGTTTGTTGTCTTTTTAACAGAAGGTACAGAGCCACTATGCTACATCTTGGCAGCTACAGAATCTTAAGTATGTATGAGAGTAAGTGCAAGTAGCACCTAAACTTAGGCTCACCCCACTCCCTTACAACTGGCCTGCACCCACAGCAGGCAGATACATACATGCAGTTGACTTCTGCATATGCAAACTAAGGAACACAAACAGCTAGAAGTTCTTCATTGCAACCTCTTAAATATATTTGGTGTTAAGTGATTTATTAGGAGAAGGCTGTTACACTATGTTAGATTTACTTAAACTACAGGAAACTGCATTAGAAGCTTTATACTCAAAGTCTGAGTTCCACATGGCTTCATTTAGTAACAGATTCCTTTCTGACACTGATGCTCCATTTACTCTATTCCAGCAGCCATTCATTTTACTAGCCTATTACTTAAAATGACCCCATCTGACAAGAGCATATCATTGTGTTGGTCTGAGAAAGACTGATGTGGTGCTAACATCTAGCCTTGACCTCTCCCACCCTCTTCTTTTGTCACTCTGTGAAGTTATCTGGGATGCCTCTGATTCAATCCATAAAACTGTACTATCTTCCTTGAGAGTCAATAATTCCAAACAAAAGATTCCTTAATTAAGAAGTATTCTGAGTGGCATTTATGCCACAGTGGCAGTCCAAGTGCACAGGCGCATTTCCCACTCAATTACTTCCTGTGATAAAAAGATGGACTACACCTCCCTTTGGAGACACTCCACAGTTTTAGAATACTTCAGATTATTTCACTTTGTTACGGAAAGGTGGAAAGCCAGACTGGGGAGTGGGAGTTGCAATGTTCAGATTGCAGCTGGTAGAAAAAGGTATCAGACATCTCACCAATGAACATCACTTTCAATACCGCACACAGAAACTTATGTACAGTAAGAAATAGCTTCACTCCTCACACCCACCTTTGCCACAAGTTCGTTCAGCCTCTTAACTTCTTCTCCCAACTTTTCAACATTGCAAATCAAGTCTCTGCAAACTTCAATATATCTTTCGGTTGGTGCCCACCGCAGTACCATCTGTCAGGAGTCAAAGAGTTATTTGCCACAATGACTGTACATCATAACTTAATACGAGTTGATGTAGCAAAAAAGGCACTGTCAGAAAAAGTTTATAACTTCATTTCTGTCAGGTTTTCATTGCATGATTTATACACGACACTGATCTACTATCCTCTTTAAGCCTTTCTGGAAACTTGTCACTTGAATCACTTGAATCAACAGCAGAAACACTGAAAAGCAGATTTATATTTAGATTTAACTTTTTGAAACAAATTTTCCAAAAAAGCCCCATGCGTTAGAGATAGAACATTGGACAGTTCTATATAACTAAAAGTAATCAAGACAGTTGATTAGCATACACATTTGTCATTTTACAAAGGTAGGACAATGCTATTCCCCCAAACTCTAAATCATTTTTCCCCTTTTGTTGAATACCTTGTGAGAATTTTCGAGGAAGTGTTTATTTATGGTCTGCACAGGAACAGTCAGGTTGCTACACTCTTTATTTAACTTCTGAAGAAACTTGAGGCATTCATCTCCACTACCAAAATAAAACCATATGCCATTATTTGTAAAACGTTATGTCTTCCTGCAAGCTAAGTATCATCTATGCATTTTCAACACTGGCTAGTGAGTGAATCAGACATGCAATTTCACTACAGTAAAAAACCCAGTCTGTTTAAGAGGGTAGTTAAACACTAACATGTAACATCTTAGCAAGCTGCACACTTTGATTGTCCACACCAATGCTCCTTCTCATCTCCTCCAGCTCCTCCCTCCCATTCTGGTAGGGCAACAAACTGTTATGCTACTCAGAATATTTAGCTACACATAGAGCTGAAAAACTATCATCCTAAAGCATTTTGGAAACATGCTGTTAACCTCCACTTCTACTTCTCATTTTCAATCCTATTTTTATCAACGAAAACATCTCACTACCCACTACAAGTGGTGTTTTGTACGACATTATGCATAATAACCATTATTCCTGTGCATGTGAGCACAGAGATCACAGTCTTGCAATACCAGGAACAGACAACTGAGTCAACTTCATACTGATATAGCGGAACTTATGACTGAAGCTTGTATTTTTGAGGTGGGAAAAAAAATAATCCTGGTTTGTACTTTGGAGCTGGGACTGAAATGGCTAGCCTACAGGCATTCTGTCTCCAGCACAGCTGAACAGTGAAGAATCTGATAATACTCTCTTGGGCCTAAGATGTGGAAATGCTTGCCTTAAAGTCTAAAATATCTGATGTTATCTACTATGAAGGAAATGTAAAGTCAATACACTCAAATATAAGCAGGAAGATAACTCTGAAAATCAGTCTCCAAAAATTGGAGGAAAGGATACAGAAACTTAATAGACTTAATTTCAATGCTAAGTTTTTAGAGCAAGCTATAAGCCATCCAGGTGAATAACATCAGGACCAACATAAAAGACTATTTCAAGTGGATGTTGCCCTGTCACAGAACCTCATTACATTTACTGGAGAATCTGTGTAAACGGATTCAAAGTGCAATGCTCCTCTTCTACCTACTGCCATCTGCTACTGAATCCAAATTCAACACACTCACACCCTCTTACCTGCATGCCTCCTCCAATGGCAAAAAGGTCTAAACCCAACGTGCCAAGCACCTAAACTAAGCCACAAACCTGCGTGGTGCAGGTGCTTAAAAAGAGGCTGGATTTGGCTCACAGAGTCTTTTCATTCAGCTTTCAACTTCTTCCCATGACAACGCACGTCATGACAACTCCAATCAATACTGACCTGCTTGGCAAAACACTTCCTAAAAACAGCTAAAAATTTGGGGCCTGATATACTGTAGTATCCAGATAAGCAGAAACAAGCAAGACTGGAGACTCAACTCTTAAGGAACGACTCTCCATCAGGAAAGAAGTGTGTCAACAAAACCAGAACAAAGTTCTCACAGGGCATCATCCACAGCTAGGACTGCACTTTTTTTTTATAACTTGTTTTAGAATAATTTATTTCCTAAAATTTTCATTTTATATTTGTTGAAAGTATCTCCACTTTAAGCAGCTGTTCCTTTGTTCTGGATCTCATCTTCCAAAGCAGAGCCAAACATTCTGCCAGCCCTGTGAACAGTCTACTCTGCACCTAAACCTCAGCACCAAGTTCCAATCTTCTAGTTTTTCTTAGTGGAAGATGCAAACATCAAATCCAGCTCCTGCGAATTCACCACCTAATCAGTCTGCATAATGACAGTACAGCAAGTTCAGGCAGAGAAAAATGAAAAGATGTAATGCTTCACAAACACAGTAATCCAGTATAAAAAAAACCACAGAAAATTAAGATAACATAAAGCATTCAATAATTTTGAAAACACACCCTGTAAATGTAAATCTTTTCCTACATCATATAAATCAATCGGGATTTCAAGAATGAGCTTTTAATGCATCATTCAATTCTGGTGTAAGACGATTGCGAGCAAAGTCTCCACTGCTGCTCAGAATGTCTGTGATCTGCAACAGTGCCCAACAACCAAGACCTCACCACTTCAAACAGAAGCATCAACAGGGGTGCTGAAGACTGAAAACCAAGATTGTTCAGAGTCTGACATGAAGAATTGGAAATGAGAAAGCCTACTATTTTTATATATTAAATTACTATTGATTTCAGAACAATATAACAATTATATTTAAAACCAACACTAAGCAAACTAATCACATCTAGAGGTAAGAAGTTTCTCCCGTGTTACTTCAACTGAGTCACTCATGAGAACTTTCTTCTACTTAGAAAGACAACTTATTAGCAAGATAGAATCAGTTATGGCACCTTCTGTCTTGTCAGAAAAGGAATTATTTTTGTTGAGAATGGTTCTAGAACTCCTACAGTAAAGCACTGTAAATATTTTTCCAACATTACGCCTCATACTTCTTTATTATACAAATAGAAATTCCATGAAAATATATTTAAGAACTATCTGCTGCAGTGATGTTGTTTCCATTTGGAAATATCTGGAAACAAAAATAACATTTTCAAAAAACTCATCACTTTTTAAAAGAATTAATGGCTGTCAAAATATCAGTGGCTAAACGCTGCTGGACAATCTGCGAGTTTATAATCAATCAGTTCAACATTTTCTACTATGTTAGTTTTTTTATGACTTAATGACTGATCTTCCTTCTCACAGAATGACTTTGAACAAATGGCAAGTAAAATCTTTATATAAGAGCAGGTAAACAGAGTATGATTTTAGTCTCAAGGTCAGATTCCTGAAATACATGTCAAGCCATTTTTTAGAAAGCTATGCAGTACTCGCCTGAACTGAAGTGCTGTCATATTTTTTTGTATTTAAGTCTTCAATTACTTACTGGTTTTGTGATCTATATAGGTTTCAAGATTTTTTGTGTGTGGTATTTTGTGTGGTACTTAGAATTCTATAGGATGATCATGTTACTGGTGTGTAAGACTGTACCTGAGTGTTTGCTTCCACTCCCTGCTCCTCATACACGCCCTGAACTATTTTTTTCTATTATTCCACTTATTTCCCATTTGATCTTTTTTAGCTGTCCTGCTTGAGCGTGTAAACTAAACACCACTTGCTATTGGCCAATGTAAAAAAGCATACATTTCTAACATAAAACAACGTGTGAAGCTTGAACTGGTCGTCTTAAACTGAAACGAATGATTCCTTGATGAAGAATCAAAATCATTTTCCAAAAGTGCCTAACTTGGACACAGGAACCCAGATGACCAGTCTGCTTTTTCAGCTCAACAGCAAAGCCTCCATTTTAACAGGAAAAACCCAGGTGCTGCCAGAAAATATGGATGTTATGATGCTTTGTACCCTCTCGCATGCCAGAACTTTAGCTCTCTGGTCTTGTAGCACACGTGCTAGTTTGCACCTTAATTCTCTTTCGGAAGTAAGTGATTGCTTTGACAGAGAAATCTCAGAGACAAGTAGGCAGTACCAAAGTCCTGCAATAAAACATGAACACCTGGCTCTCCCAGCTCATCTTAATCTTTCAAGTGTTTCCCATTTCAAGAGCCTTACGCGTCCTCTCATCCCACAGTTCAAACTTGGTATCACGGCACAAAAATCTAACTCAAAAAGCCTGCAAAGACTTTTTTGTATGAACACAGTAATGGTTACAGAAACAGGCAGAGTGCTAGCGTCAGAAGCAATCAGTATATTTAAGAGTGATTAAACAGGAGTGGAGAATGCAGTAGACAGAACCACAACATGAGGGCTAAAGCACAGTGTCACCGTGATTCAGCTGCCTCCAGAGGATGGATGGCGACATATACAGAAAGCACTTGAACCCTAGCACATTCTTCAGTCCAACTTACAATACAATGTCAAGTTTAGCCTCCACATAAGGCAGACAGGTCTCTCCAGAGTTCTGGAGAAGGAAGAAATAGCTAAGAAAACTGTCAAGCCACTACTCAAGACACAAGATGTGGGCTTCAAGCACTTTCCTATACACACACTTTAAAGAGGAACTGCACTCACTTTTCTAGATAGAAGAAAATTATGTAATGAACAGATCAGATACGAGGAGGAGTTTGTCACAAGTCCTGTGCAATGAAGATGATAATGCCACGCAACTGGTGATGAGTAGGAAGAGAGAAATCTAGCACACAGAGCCTAACTCGTGAGGCAGCTACAGCATGGGGATGGTGCAATATCTACTAAACAGAGCAGTCTGACCCAAGCTGAACAAAGATAGTACAGCTAACAAAGGCTTCTGAAAGGCAAACCACAGTTCTGTGCTGAGGTCTGTTTTCTAAGTATCCAAGTGGTCTCACACTTCAGAAACAATTCTATGGCTCTGGAAATTAACATGAAAGAAGATATGAACACAGAATCTAAATCCAAATCCACAGCTCTCTTCTAGATAAAACATTCACACAACAAAACAGAAGGATAAGAGGTTTAAGAAATCTTAAGACACCTCTACCCTTACTACACTCTTCTTTTTGTGGCAGACACAGGAACTGCTCTATGAGCACCTAGGAGACAGGTAAAATTTAATAATACTCTAGAAAAACAAGGAATCCAGAAATCTACATGAATTAGATGGACACAGACAGGTAGTTAATTAATTAATCAGTTGAAAATTAAACCCATATGCAGAAATAATATACACCTCTGCCTCCTACTTTTTAATTGCATTTTACTCTCATATTTGATAGCAGTACTAAAAATCTGTCTTGTCTACAGACACAATGGAGAATTACACAGGCCATACTGTTTAGAGTTTGAAAGTGTCAGTGATGCTCTTGAAGCATGGGTAAGCAAACAGAGCAAGCTTATCAGAATAACTAAAGAACAAGTTAATATTGGAGCCAGAGAAGTCGCTTGATAGAAACACACCTATTGAAACGTGCACAGCAGTGCAGGTCTGAGATACAGATAAAGAATTCATCACTCAAAGATGACCAAAATAATGGCATAAGAATTGCAATATAACTGATAAAAAGATTCCTACAGCAGGAAGCTGTGCTTTTAATTTTCTTTGTATAAAATGCACCTACTTTCATTCCTCACGATCCACTAACAGGCATCCCATGAATGTTTATGCATAGGATGAGGTGCCAGAGAATCTAAATTTCATGCTATAGAAAATATTGCAGTTACCTTAAATAGTTTGCATTCCAGTTTACTTTCCATAGAAACATGGTTATTACCTGACTTCCAGATTTGCTAATTCAGAAAGGTCTCTAAATCTTGTGTCTTCCACTTGCAGCTCATTAATGGCATCTAGGAGTTTCTGTTGATCTACAGGATTTGTAATACCTATCTAAATTCAAAAAGTAATTTCAGACATATGATTTAGTTTTAACACGTATTAAACATAAAACAGTTCAGTTCTGCTCATTTTATGAATTTATAATTAATAGTCAAAAGAAGTTACATTTAAGTAATCAACTATGTATGTTATTTCCAAAGGAAATTAGAATTAAAAAAAAAACCATGATAATAACAGAAAATAAGACAAGAACCAAGTAGGAGCCAAACTGATCTTGCACAGATACTCAAAAATCTGGGTATTAAAAAATATTAGCAGCAGTTTTGATAAGCACCCCCATGCTAGGATCTTATGCTTCACTAATTCAGAATCATCTAAACCATCTTACAGTAAGAAACAACTAATCATCACAACAGTGATACAGTGTTAATAGTTTGCATTATTTTTTTCCTGAGCTAAGTCTGCATCAAATTGTAAATTAGAAAGAAAGAGTCCAAATTACAAGAAGGCTTTTATGTGCTTTTGGACATGTATTTTATTTCTCCTCTGTTTAGGGAAACCTGTCTTGCAAAGTATCATACCTCTTTCAAAAACCTTATTTTTTCAAGAGTTTTGTTGTACTATCTAGTATGAATTAATGTTTTCTTACTGTTTACAAAACAAAGTGAGATCTAACAACAGCCATCTCATGACACAGTAGTAAGCTGATCTGTGAGCAGCAAATTTGAGTACAATTAGAAAAATCAAGTGAACTCTTCCAAGGTCAGAGCAGGAGTTACTCCTGAACATTAAATCTGGCCAAAGCGAGAACTATTACGATTGGAACTGATTTTGATTCATCTTCTCGTTCCTTGAACAAGCAAATAAGGATATACCTTTCTCATCAGTGCAGACACATGTTCTAATTTGGGTTCCTACAAATAAAAGATAACTACATCGTTCTGTGAACAGATCAGTTGACTGAGCACTCACACAACACCTTGTAGATATGCCTTGTGAAGAAAGAACTGTCAAAGAAACTGTCAAAAGTCTACCATTAGCACAGCACTTTTTGAATTGAAAAGTACTAGGTGCAGAACTTGAGAAGAAAAGGACCAGTCCAAACCTCTTTCCAAAGCAGACAATTTTCTTTTCCAGACCACTTATGCTGAACAGGAAAATTTAGCCACAATCTGACCATTCATGCAATGATGAAATGGAACAAGACGCGTGTATGAATGGAACGTAAACAGTCTGTGAAGCCCTTCTTCTTCCTCATGGATGAGAAAACTTTTAGGCTAGTAATTGTTCAGTTGTACTCTGCAGCCTACACAGTGCAACTACTATTTTTTAAGTGGCCATATGTCTAAGAAAGAAGTGTTGTATATGGATTTACTTATATCTGTAGAACAGACTACACATAGTCCAGATTTTTATTTTAGGTACGTAGACTTACTTTGTTTTTACTTAAGAATAAAGTAAAATGAAAAAAAAAAAAAAGCTAAAAACTTGCATACCAGCATTAACATTCTCTGTCATCCTTCAGACAGAAATAATAGAAGGTGAGTAACAGATTGCCTCAAGTGAAAGATGGCACGCTTCTCAGATAACATACCAGTGAGGTTATATATGAACTCTTTGTCATGTTGCCCAAATGGTCACTATTTTTTATTCACTTTATTTTCTGCCAAGTATAAAATGTTTTTTTGTGTGTGGGAAGGTGGTCAGAGGAAGGAGAGTCTTGGCACTGTGATACAGAAGTATGCAGACTAGATAACTCTCCAATGATGAAGTTAAACTCCTGGCTTATATTTTGATGTGTCAAATTTTTACTACACATTCTCTAATCTGAAGAGGATGCCAATTTCTCATCTAATAAGCTAACAGACAGTGAGACAGGAATTTTGTCAGTTCAAAACACATCAAGTACTCACGGCACTGCCTTATGAGACAAATACTCAAAAAAAACATGCCTCTCCTCCAGTAAAAAAAAAAAAAAATCAAAAAAAAAAAAAATCTAAGTGTCACAAGAAGAACAAGCAGACAAAAACCTCCAAATGTTGTATAGACTTGTCCCAGTATACTGAGCAGACATGTCTCAGTATGGAGCAGTTTATAACTTGAAGGAATGCAAGGATTTCAACTTGAAAGAGTCATTGTTTAGGCTCTGTTGTAGAATACAGATAAAGATATTTACAGAGAAAATATCTTCCCGATATAGTTTGATGGAGGAAAGTGTCTCATGTTAGTGACAGGATTTTTTCTCCAGCTCCTTGGATAAAAAGCAGCATGGTTCAGAGGCATCCATCAGAAGTCATCGTTAATCTTTGCAGTAATAAGATCCAGGCTATTTAAAAGAGCTGGCTGTTAGTGGAAGATCTGCCATCACACCAAAAACTTTAAACTCTGTTATGAGAAAACAGATTAAATTTTTTTCTACCAGCAGTAAGGGGAGAAACTGTTAGCAGAGCTCTAAAACTATAATCAAGAATTGATGATAACTTATGAAATGGTAATAAGCCAGGTGTGCGATGTTATTTTTTAAATTCCAACTTGAAGACTAATTAATTTACGTCCATGCACAAAATATGACTTATTTTCCAGGCACTGTTTTCTGCTGTTGCCAAGACAAGATGCAAAAAAGAATCCTGCTCCTAGAGAAGTTGTCTTCCTGAGCAAGAACAGCCAGCCCAAGCATCATTCCAGACTGTCCTTTGTATTAAGGAATTCCAAACACATCTGAACACTGAAAGAGAAGTTATCAGTTTGCGTGAAAAGTATTTTGTCTCATCAGTGAAGCTGAAGTATTTTAAGTAAGGCTCAGCTATCCATTTCAGTCTATAATACTCTCCCCTCCTCCAACACACCCTGGACAAAACAAAATAAAAATGATTACATCAAAACAGGTGGTGAATTTTAATGCATACTCCATCAGATTTGCAGTTCAGTGCAGACATGGGAGAGAGCAGTTCACAGTCATGAGGAGAAAGCCACAAAAATCTCTTAAGAGTGAAACCCTGTAAAGGGGGGCTTTAAGGAATCAAATAAAGCCCACACTGGGATGCTATGATCCACACAGGTGCTGATATGCCTTGTAATATTTATGTCTAAGCCAACTCTTAAAAAAAATCTTGATTGATAAAACTCCCTATACATGAACCCTCTGAGAATACAGGTATTTCTGAGCTCTGTCAAAACACTGAAAATGCTAGCTCGGTGACAAGACAAATCTCCATGCAGGACAGCCTAGCGACATCAGCTCTGAAGGAACACCAATATCCGCAGTTACGTTTTGATCGCTGCTGCTGGAATACATGCCTCCTTGGTACCACGAATGTTCTGGCACTGTTCCAGGGTAAAACAACTGGTTATCCAAACCAGAATAGAGGGGAAAAGAAGCTGACACTTAGGATGTACATAGACAGCATGAGTAGCAGGTCTGAAGGAGCTAACTGAACAAGGCCTCTCTGGTAACCCGGACCGGGTACAGACTGCTCAGAAAAATGCTGCAGCCTGAAGTACCTGTGCCGCACCAAGGAGACTCTATAGCACAATTTCATTTTGGCCTCTTCCTTCAAGTGAACAAAACCTTTCATCTTCCAGAGCAGTAATTTCAGTGAGGAGTTTAAGGAAAAAGCAGCTGCCCTATTTCTATTACAAACTAAAACTTTATAAAAACGTATCAATTTCTCCTGGACAAATATGAAATACTGAGCTTCCCAAATGCAGCAGGCTGCAAGAAAGATTTTTTTTTTTTTTAACTTAAAAAAAAAAAAAAAAGAAAAAAAAAGAAAAAATGACCACCTTTAAAATGGATACATAGGATTATCTGCTGCTTATCCTAGCACTGATCTGCATTCAGGGAAAACACACATCATAACAGTGGCAGCAGTAACTAAAATTCAAAATTGAACTATTTCCCACTCACCCCAACTCCCACTTCATTACAGCAAAGAAACAGAGGGAACCTCCACAGTCAGATGTAGGCAAAGACGACCTGGGAATTCACCTCACAGAATTGAAGGCAGGTCTGTCAGATTACACAAAACAGTCGTCTACATTTACACAAAAATTGAAGAATTTGTCAAAGATTTTGAGAGCAGGTCTTTAAAGATGACTTTTTATAATGGTTAGGTATTAATAAAGGTAACAACTGAAACCATTTCTGAAAAAGAAGAAAACAATTTTCGAATTTTTTTAAACTAACCTTTATCATCTCTTCTTTTTGCATGGTCAGAAGCTGCCATAAGTATACATCTCTGTCCTACATAAATTAAAGGATTTTCTGTCACCAAAAACAGTTTCAAAAGAAAATAGTGTTTTCATTTTTTTTTCACATACACTTTACTTCAGTTTTCATAAACAAAAACAGTGACACCATATAACTAAGAAAAACAAGTGTCCTCCAGTTCAGAAATATCACATTGTGACTTATGCTCAAAATCAAAATTAAGCAATCCAGTCCACTGCAGTGGACCTTTACACTTCAAAGGTGAAATTTCACTTAATACATTTACTTAAATGAATGTAGAATTTATTTTGACATTTATGGTATGTTTCACGAAATTATAGATAGCAGACACATCATATCTTACCTTCAATAATCCTATTATGTGTTCTAGACCAATACCATGTAAAAACACTTCCATGGCATCTAAAGTTGAACAGGAACTGTAAATACATTCAATAAAAGTTCAAAATGAAAACAGAGGAAATTAAAAACAAAGCAAAAATACACCCAAAACAAAATGCTACAGAAGAAATCCTAGACTGACACTGACAGATCTAAACCTCTACATTTTTACTGATAGTCTCTTGTAAGCATCATAAGCGTAACTTATAAAATTTTTTTAATTGCATTTTTGGTCTAGTGAGTAGAATTGACCATAAACAGAACTGCTATTATAAATGAAAACCAATAAGTAGAAGAACGTTTCAACGTTTGAGCAACACGAGGACCTCAAAGTTGCTCACAAAAGCCTGAAAAATCTGGAAGTGGTGTTAAGGAAGATAAAACTGTGCATTCTTATCAGCCGATCATCATATAAACTGGATTCAGCCCAAAGTTGCTACTCTATCAGTTCCATTTAAATAAAAAACAGTTATCAAAAAAACCAGGAATGCCTATTTTGAAGACAGCAGAGATAAGTCTGATAAGAAATTCACTGTCAGAAGACTACTGTTCAGAAGGTAGACAAAAGAAACAGCAAAACTCATTTTAAGTTCTGAGCTCAACATCAGGTAAAACATCAGTCTATTCTTCAACCTACTAAAAGATAAAAAGATGAGAACAAAGGTCCAAACAATCAGATGAACAATTGTAATGAACGTAAGAAAAAAGTAGATCACATAAAGTGCAAAAAAACTACTGCAGTTGCTATAACAAACCTTTGCCAAAACCAAATTAAGAAATAGTTTGCTCTCTTGTTGTAGGCCCCCCCAAAAAAATCAAGGTTTGCCTTCTTATCCTGTCAAAGACTAAAATAAGTTTCTACTCTCAAATTGGCAGAAAACAAAACAAATAACATTAAAAAAAAATCTTTGAAAATAGTTCAGAATGCCTAAGAAAACATTTCAGGTTTGCACACTGAGAATCTTGAAAATTCCAAGGATTTCTGCTATTTCGGTACATTTAACCCTTCACAAGGTATAGGCATTCTAAATCATCTAAGGAAGAGTTAATGCAGCTTCCACTTCATAGCAAGTCAATAAATCTTTGAGCGTAAGGTATGTTTCAGCAGAAAAATATGAGTTTAAAACTACTGTCCCTTCCATGAGGTTGTGCAGAATCATGTTATCCTCTTCCCCTCAACACAAACATCAACAGCCAGCCTCTGGTAAGCAATTGACAGACACACTCGCACAATGTACAACTGACACCCTCATACTGGGGAGAGGAACAGTATGTATGAATATAGAAGAACTACAGTGATCAGATCTTTTTATTTAAGCATTCAAAGCATGTATTTTACAAAGCCTTCGGGAGTCTTCTGGTAACTCAAGATCGCTGGTGCAAGCAAAGGACATTTTTCTTTTTGTGAATCAAAGAGAGCTATTCAGCAACTACATGTTTACTTGAAAGCCTCTGAACAAGAGGACTAGCCTAGGAGTCGAAGAAAGCAAATTCCTTACAGATACGTTTTCCTCCTTTTAGAATCCAGGCATCTGGAGTCAGGACTGTTGTTCCACTAGATAGCAGAAGTCAGTGACTGAAGCCACCCTCACTATCCGATGTCTACAGAAGGCTGACACAAACATCTATGACAGTGGGGCAACATGCTGACACCCAGTACTACACGATGCATTAGGAAGGAGCAGATGAGAGAGGAAATGGAAACTGAGAAGACAAGTGGCAATGCTTGCGATGAAAACTACAAGGGCCAATGGTAGGCAGGAGGTATCCAACTCAAGGAGCTACACTGCTGGAAGATCTCATCACAGCCAACAGCTCCCTCACAACGGGAAGTGGAAGGGCAGGCGCTGATCTCTTTCTGGTGAGGGTAACAGGGCCCGAGGAAACTGCATGAAGCTGTAACAGAAGAGGTTCAGGCTGGATATCAGGAAAAGGTTCTTCTCCAAGAAGGTGGTCAGGCACTGGAACAGGGTCTCCAGGGAAGTGCTCATGGCACAGAGCTGCCACAGTTCAAGAAGCATCTGCACAATGCTCTCAGAGATCTGATTGGTCTTGTGTGGAGCCTGGAGTTGGACTCAATGATCCTTGTGGGTCCCTTCCAACTTGAGGATATTGTACCTCTTGACTATCATTACACAAAAAGAACAAACACATGTATGTGTGTGTTTTCAAAGCTTATCAAGATGACTAAGCCTGACAGAACACCCTCTAGCCAGCATCAGGCTTCAACAGGACAAAATTCATTTGAATAACTGCTGCGGAGGGTTACTTCCTTATATCACTAGTAATACACAAGAACAGAGAACAACATAGATAATTGACTTTACCATGCAAAGTCTTCAACCCTCAGCTTCAGAAAGTGCCTCTAAGATGATTGTGGTTGAAGTCCCAGAGGAAAAAAAAAACACCTGATGTAAACATTATTCTAGCAACAGAATCTGATTAGATTCTGTCTGAGACTACCTGAAGTCTGAAGTGCTAATTAATGAACTACCATCAGCCTCATGATACGTAATTTAGTATTTCAAATTCCACATGACCTGGCTAAGCAGGGACACAATATTAAACTGACTAATCAGAACACACCACACAGAGCCTACGGGCACTGAGGATTGTTTTCTCAAGGCTATGCAGCTCAAGGAAGAAAATGGATGGTTTGCTGAGGACTTCTTAGCTGTATGTTCAATGACAAAACAGTACCAAAAACCTTCAAAGCAGGTACTGAAGTCAGCCACGGGACATCTGCATGCTTCAGAGTTAGAAGCATGCTTATAAAAGAAATTCTGGAGCTTAAATGCTGTTCATATTTTACTTGGGGTTGCTTGGATGTATGGCTCTCCTCAAGGCGATGCAAGTATCTGAAAGCACGTGGAAAAATGGGGCACAGCTCTTCTTGGTGGCATGAATATGAGAACAGGCATTCAGTAAAAGTATCTGAAATTGAATATCAAATGAAGATAACCACACAACAAGGAGTATCCAACAAAGGAGCATAAAAAATTTAACAGCACTGAAACACAGGTAAGTGCCATTGAACCCTGCCTCTACTATACTTTATGCCAACTGAGAGGAAAGGAAGACCTAGAGCATGCTCATAGTTTACAATGCAAAGGAACCATGCAGTCCTGAAAAATGAATATTAACATACTTACTGTGAGCTCTTGGTAGTGCTTCAAATGATACACAGTGCATTTTAGTAAAACTTATTATGAACAAACACAATCTCTCATGAATGTTTATAAATTAAAATTACACCATGAATTTATTTACCTAACACTGTGGTCAGAGGCAGCTGTCAGAAATTTGTACATAGTCTCTTGCTTCACTGTCCCACAGTATTTCCCTTGCAAGTGATTTACAGTCAAAGAGAGTAAACTATAAATCTGAAAGAGCCAAAATGAGTTAGTTAGCATGCATAAAGAAATACACAGAAGTCAGACTACAAAGACTTATTTTATGAATTACTACACTGGGGGAACATGAAACATCTGCCATGTCTTTTCTAATTCAAGTACAGTAAGGAGTTAAGACTAAGCTCTAAGAGTTTATCATCAGGAACATTTCTGGATGCAAAGCAAGTTTATACACAACGCAGTCATAAAGGAGTTAGCAACTATTATTTCAGAAGCAGCAATACTCCAACAACTATTTTCTGTTGTTTGTAGACAAGAGTACCACATACTCAATGGAGTAAGTTTCCTAAGAAGCTAAATGTATAAAACTATTTTAACACCTCAGTTTCCAATGCGTATACAGACCCAACATTTAGCAGTTTACATCTAACAATTGAAGTTGATTATATTTGACAGACAAGGATTCTTTCAACTGATTAAACAAGGAAGACTTCTACCAGATATCACTACACATCAGTGATGGATTCAAAAAACCGCACTGCCCTTGCTAGTTACTAGAAAAGCTAGCAAAGCAAGTAGAATCCTAGTAAAAGTATAAAAGTAAGGGACTGGTGAGATCACTTTTCTGAAATTCAGGTGACTAGCCAGCTTTTTGTCTATACACACACAGTGTGGATTGACACTGGATAGCACATAAGTCCCCACTTAGTTGCTTGTCCATTCCTTAAAATGGGATAGGGCTGAACAGGAAGAATAAATGTGAGGAAAAAAAAAAAAAAAGGTTGGTCAAGATAACAGTATTTTAATTAGAAATGTGTACACACACACACACACACACACACAAATTCCTAACAAAAAAGCGATGCAAAGGCAAACACACCATCTCCCAGTTGCAAACTGATGCCCAGCCAGGCTCCAAGAAACAGCTACTTAACAAAAATCCCTCTGCTCCTCCCATGTTTTTACTGCTGAGCAAGGCTGTTATATACCAACATGGAATAATCCTTTGGTCACTTCAGCTGTCTCAGCTGTGTCCCCTCTCAGACCCTCACCTACCCTAGCCTGCTTGCTTGCAGGGCTTCCCTGACAAACACAGCAAAGGCCTTGTTGCTGCATAAACACTCAGCAACAGTTAAAATACTAGTGCATTATCAACACTGGTTTGGTCACAAATCCAAACCAGCACCACATAAGCTGCTAGGAAGAAAACTTCCACCCCAGCCAAACCCAGTACAATATGCAAGGAAATAAACGTTCCCTCATATAGTTTCTGTTGCCAGAGCCTTTGACAACGCAGAGGGGCTGTCAATGGGCTGAAGAGCAGACAAGCAGACTTCCAAGCTGGAACAAGCTCACAACCATTAAATATCACAGTAACATCTGCATGAGTTTGCAGTAACTGTGCGAAAGCTAATACTTCACAGGTCAAGAAGCAAGACCCACCTCTCAAGTGCAAGGAGCCTGTATTCCCTCTATGTCAGACAGTCATGTTGTAAGACTATGTGGCCACAGCCTGCTGAACAAGTCATTTATCATAGACAGAAAGCATGTGGAGCCCCTTCCAATAAGCTGAGTTGACAGACTGCTGAGCCTCAGACACTGATCTTGCTAGCCTACGCTCTGTGCATAGTTACCATTTTTGCTCCTGCCTAGCCTTGTAATATGACAGGAGGAAAAACAGGAGAGGAAAGACAGTAGAAAAATCACTAAAGTGAATTACATATTTTTAAAGGGACACTAGAAAAAACACTAAGAAGTTATTGGTAAGAGCAACTCAAAGCAAAACACACAAATCTGATTTGATTGATCCACCATGTACCATTTAGTACGGGCAATTAAAAGAATTATTTTAGGAGTATGTGTGTGTAATGTCTTCAGCAGCTTTCTTCAAACTGGTAATTAGTGACCGCTTTTCCAATGACCTGATGTGATCCAATGATCAATTCACATTGTTTTAAACTGTCTTCTGTCCAAAGAATCTGAGAATAGATTTGGAAAATGGCCAGTACATACCACTGAGTCTCTCTGCCCCTTTAGCTTTGGCTTTTTCACTTCCAGCTTCAATCAGAAACTACAAACTGCCAATTAGTTTGATATCTGCCTTCTCTCACACAGTTGGGCAGCCAGGAAAAAAGAAAACAAACAAAAACGAACACATGACTTTACTACTTCTCACGTCACCGTTACTTACATTACTAATCCCTTGCTCTACATTTCAAATCTGAAGTCAAAGATTCTAAAAAGAAATAAGCCAAAGAAATGACAACAACAAAGCACAAAAAAATGCACAACATTTAAAAGCGTTTAAAACTGTGGAAAGTTGGCAGGTGTTCAACTCGCTCCTGTATTGTAGTTACTAAAGTAAAACTTCTGCAGAAAACCATACGATTAATAGCAGAGATTCTAATGTCAAACTCAAAAAACAAACCAAACGCTCCAAAATAAACACAAAAAACCCACAGAATTCATATTTGAAAGAGAAATGAAATTAAGTACCTCTGAATGTTCATTGATTTTTGCTATCTCTGCTGCTGTTTTCTTATCCTTAGTCTGTAGATTTTTGTCAGCTCCAAGCTCAAGCAACATAAAGACTACATTTTTATGTCCATGGTGTGCTGCCCATATTAATGCCTGCATGAAAAGCAACTTTGTTTTATCAAGCTTGCATATAGAGGAAAAAAAAAAATAGAGGTTCAATGAATAACACAAAATTTATAACTTCATAACTTCTTACATGGCAGAATCTGAAGACAAAGACACGCAGTGCAAAACAATCTCAAGGTAGATGGGTAGATGCACAATAAATAAGCTTGAGTATTTGTTTAAGGAAAATATATTTAGAAAATAAGCCTATGGGCTCCTGTTTTTTTTTTTTAATACTTTTAAATAATTAGTTGAAATATATACATAAGTAAACCACTTACTGAATATCCATTTTCATCTTGAGCATTTATGTGTGATCCATGAGCAACAAGAAGACTAACAACATGAGGACAGCCTTTTCTAGCTGCATACATCAGTGGAGTCATTTGTTTCCTGGAAGGAACAGTGACAAGCATGTCAAGCTGTTAAAATCCAGCTGTATGATCAGACAGGGTACTTCAATTCTGCAAACACTCTCTTCTGTAGAGCCATTTTCACCGAGAATGAAAGCCCATGGCACAGTGTTTATGCTTTACCACAAGGTTCAATTTATCAGAACATAAGATTTAGTAACTGATTTACATCAGTTAGCATTTTTTATACATTTTAAGAATTGCTATTTATTTTCTAACTGAGAAGAAATCAAGAGCAAATTACTGCCCTCTGCACTTAGAGGACATTCCCAGAAGATAGAGAAAACTTAGAGGAATCATTCCTGGAGATTAGAATATAAACTTATAGCTTGTACTTCTAGGAGAAGAAGTTGAAAACTATTTTATCACTTTCAAATTCAAATACTGCATTACATCAAATATTCTTAACACTTCTCAGCTATGAAAAGCTTTCTGGTTTAGAAATACATGAAATCTGTTTCTCAAGGTCATCTCTCTTGTTGCTACCACAGACCCAAAGGCAGGCTCTCAATGAAAGCACGTGAAGCAGCTTCATAAAGGAATGCGCATAGTCAGAGATCACAGTTTCTATGTTAATAAAGCAGAGAATATCAGCTTATCACTCATTTTAAAATTCAGTTCAGAGAAAAAAAAAAAGTGGCAGAGCATTACTTTTCACATTAAAAAAATGTAAAGAACACAGCTTAAGTGATAAATTCTTCACACAGTTTAACTGAAAGTTCTGGAAAGAAAAGACGTATTTTTGTGGAGGACAAGTTATAAAACATAATATAATCTTGTTAAATCTTGTTATAAAACATAATAATCTTGTTAAAGAGAAATGAACAACTATATACATATTAACAACTATATACATGCTTGCAAAACTCTGACAAAAACATTACCAGCAAAAAAATCACCGGTCACACAACTATGGATAATGTACAAAATAAGTACAGTGCAAAACCACAGCGTGCACAAGAACAACCAACATTCAGAGCCTTCCTGAGCACACCTGAAAGAAGTCATCAGGGAATTACATAGAAATGCCATACTAAAAATGTTTAGAAATACTAAAAGTAAACGTACATCAAAATACTTACGTCCTTGGCCTTTTCCTAATTTTCCATTCCCACAAGTATGCTGACATTTGCTCTTTTACACATACAAAACTATTACTTGTGACTGCTTAAGTAGAAATTATAGACACCACCTTTCCCATTATTCTATTTATTTTGTTTATATCCCCAAATGTGATGACAACAGTCTATTATGCTTCCTCTTAGATGCTTGTAAGATGAAGCCATAGCGAACTGGCCTGCTGTTTTTCAGAAATATATCTAAATTTATCTAAATATACATATTGCTCAAAAGATTCTGTTCAGAAAATATCTTTTTAGTAGCCTGATTGTTTCTCTGTGGTGTAATAAGACTAAAGACTGACAAGCATGTAGTATTGCAGGAGAAAGCTGTTGAGTTTCTGGGTGCTATGAAGTAAACAGTTATAAGCCAAAATATTTTACTAACGGTGTTCAATTAAAAATGCACCATATCTTAAAATGAGTTTTTTTTTTCCCTAAAAAAAAGCATTGCGTATTTCTAACGTATGGCTCTGTAAAAAAAATCTGATGTAAAAGTTTATTCTACAACAACACCCTGCCATGAATGCAGATCTAGAGATAACTCCGTGACAGGAAGGTTGTTAGAGTTAGGGTAGTATCGTTAGGTTGCAGTTGGACTTGATGATCTTTAAGGTCTTTTCCAACCTGAGCAATTCTGTGATTCTATGAATGCAATTTGAGACGAGAAACGTTTTCTGAAATGGTTTCTTACCAGTAATTTCAATGCCGACCACTAGAGGGACCCCGAAATACATGTGCATACCTAGTAGATTTCATCAAACGCTGCCTCTCTATAGCTACCACTACGGCTTTGCTCATTCTTCTTCATTATTTCTTACTCTCAACATCTGTTATTATCTGTCAGGATAACGTGGTACAATACAAGTGTCGTTAAAAGTCCATTGCAAAAATTTCAGACATACACAAAAATGGAAAGAATTTGACAATGTCCCACACGACAACTGAATCACAGAATTAAGTGAATTGGAAAGGACCTTAAAGATCATCCATTTCCAATCCCCCTGCCATGGGCAGGGCTTCATCCACTATGTCAAGTTTTTCTGAATATCTCCAGGGATGGGGCAATCTGTTCCAGTTGTTTAAGTTCTCTAGACTCTAAGTTGTCTAAATTAGAGACACAGATTCAACAGACAGATGACTCAGTGGACAAGAAATTAGCTGGATTGTGATCAACAGCTCCATGCCCGGGTGGAGAACATTGATGACTGGCATTCCTCAGGGGCCAGTATTGGGATCAGCACAATTTAACATCTTAGTAAATGACACAGACAATGGAATTGAGTGCATTCAGCAAGTCTACAGACAACACCAAGTTGTGTGGTGCAGTTGGTGGTGCTGAAAGGAAGAGATGCCATCCTGAGAAATCCTGAGAAGCTTCAGAAGCTTGCCTGTACAAACCTCATTAAGTTCAACAAGACCAACTGCAAAGTCCTGCATATGGGTTTGGGTAATCCCAACTATCAATAGAGCCTGGTGATGAACGGGTTGAGAGTTGCCCTGCAGAGGACTTAGGTGTGTTGGTTGATAAAGCTCAATGCAAGCCAGCAATGTATGCTTACAGCCCAGAAATCCAACTGTATCCTGAGCTGCATCAGAAGAAACAAACATCAGGTCAAGAGAGGTGATTTTTCTCCCCTGCTCTCCTAAGAACCCATGTGCAGTACTGTGTTTGGCTTGAGAGCCCCAGCATAGGGCAAACATGGAACTAGTGGAGCAAATCCAGAGAAGGGCTAAAAGGATGATCAGAGCTGGAACATCTCTCCTACAAAGACAGGCTGAGAAAGATGGGGATATTTAGCCTGGAGAAGAGGCTTCAGGGAGACATTACAGTGGCCTTCAAGTACCTAAATGGGGCCTAAAAGAAAGCTAGAAACAGACTTTCCCCCCCCCCCCCCAGAGCATAGTGGTAAGGATTATTGGCTTTAAAATAAGTGAAAAGATTTAGGTTAGACCTATGGAAGAAGTTCTTTACTCAGAGGGTTGTGAGGCAATGGGACTGGTTGACCACAGAAGTTGTGAATGCCCCATCTGTGAAAAGTGTTCAAGGCCTGGTTAGATGGTACTCTGAGCAACCTGATCTAGTGGAAGGTGTCCCTGTCCGTGGCAGAAAACAGACTTCATAGGTCCCTTCCTACCAAACAATTAGACAATGCAAATGGGAATGCATCTTGTGATAGTGAAAAAAAAAAAAAAGTATATTATTCAGAAATAAGCAAAATATAAGGTAACTATGTCATCTCAAGACACATAGACAGTAAGGGAAATGAACCTAGTAATAAAATGAAGAAGAGGTCTACATTGGTCTGTAACTAAATCATTTTAACCTGTCAGCACTTCAACTGAAGTTGTTCTGATTGAATAAAAGGAAGGTGAAACAGTCTCTTTCTTTGGCAGCCTCATAGACCAAACGGTAGTGTGATGTTTAAGCTGATGCATTTTTAAGGCAATAGTTGGAGTACAGATATATGTGGAGGTTCTTTCTTCTTTCACTGTTATTTTTATGAAACTTGCACACTACTACCACCTCACAATTATCTTCTGCTTTTTTTTAAAAAAAACTACCAAGCAGAACTCCAAAAGCTACAGAACAGTCTTTTCTCTGGAGCACAACATGCAGTGGTGACAACTGTACAGTACTGCAAAGATGACATCTGAAATCAAGGCACTGAGTCAAACAAGCAGTGAGAAAGCATCACCACTGCTAAGTAAAATCAAATAAATGTGATGTTTAAAAGGTCTGACGATATTAATAGGCATTATGACTTCAAGCACCCAATTTTACATATGTTTTAATTTAAAGGGATAGAGTCTGTTTCAAGGTAGAAACATTTACAGTGCTGAATAAATATGCAACTGTATTTATGCAACTCTACCTATGCGAGGGCACCATTTCATGCCTTAGTCCCACAACCAATGCTTCAGAAAGCAAGATACATCTACATGCAAGTCTGAAAGAGGGAGATTAGAGTAAGAAAAACAAACCTAATCCATCAAAGAAACCAAGATTTACGATAAACAGATAGATATAAAAAAATAAATCCTCCATTACTTGTTAACGTTGAAGAAAAATTAACTGTACTCATACACCTTACTGTAATCAGGAAAAAATGTACACAGAAGTTTTGTTGTAACTACTCACAGTAAAAGATTTGAAGAATCCTTTCCTCATTTTGAGGAGCCCTGCAGACACTGCAGCCTCAGTGTCTTGTGTCAAAGGCTTTGCTCAAGTCTAGGTAGACTACATCAATAGTCCTTCCCTCATCCACCACGTGGATTACTCAACCACAGAAGAAGGTCAGGTTGGTCAAGCAGGACCTGTCTTTTATGAATCCATGCTGGCTGGGCCTGATCCCATGGCTGCCCTGTATATGCCATGTGATCTCTCTTAAGATGATCTGTTCCATAACCTTCCCTGGCACCAAGGTCTATCTGACAGGACTGTAGTTCCCTGAATCCTCCTTAAGATTCTTGTTGTAGATGAGAGTCACGCTGACAAGCTTCCAATCCTCTGGGGCCACTCTGGTTGACCAGAAACACTGACAGATGATGGAAATCGGCTTGGCAATCACTTCTGACAGCTCCTTCAGCACCTTCAGGTGGATCCCATCCAGCCCCGCGGACTCGTGGCAGTTGAGATGGAGTGGTAGGTCTCTGTTTCCACCTGAACCATGGGGGATTTATTCTGCTCCCCATTCAAGACTTCCAGGTCAGGGGTAGAAAATCACAAGGATAATTGGTCTGACTTTTAAAGACAGATGCAAAGAAGGCACTGGGAACATCAGTGGTCACATTCCCCACTGCATCCAGTAAAGGATGGAGATTCTCTTTAGCCCTCCTCTTAGAGTTAATATATTTGCAAAAACACTTTTTGTTCTCTTTCACTACAGTGACCAGGCTGAACTGAAGCTTGACTTTAGCCTTTCTAATTTTCTCCCTGTGCATCCTAACAACTTCTTTGTATTCTCCCCAAGTTGTCTGTCATTTCTTTCACAGGAAGTACTTTCTTTTCTCCTGGAGCCTCACAGAAAGTTTCCTGTTCATGCACACTGGTCTTCTCCCTTACCGGCTCATTTCGCAGCACAGACACAGCCTGCTCCAGTGCCCCTAAAACTTCCTTCTTGAAGAGCCTTCTTAGACTCTCTCATCCTTCAGGACTGACCTCCAATAGACCCTCCTTACCAGTGTCCTGGCCACTAGCATTTTTGCTGATCCCCCTCCTGACTTCACCAAGAATAGAAAACTCCTAATATTCCGTGGTCGCTTTGCGCAGGACAGCTCCCAAAGCTCCCTACCTCCACACCTCCATCAGTCCTTCTCTGTGAACAGCAGGTCTAATAGCAAACCTCCCTGGTAGGCTCTCTTACTAGCTGCAACAGTGGAAATAGCCCTTATGAACAAAGTTCTCTGCTAAATATAATTCAGTATTTGATGGGGGTTTTTTGTTGCTTTTTTTTTTAGAATAGATTTCATTCCCCTGTACTGACATTTGACCAACATACAATGTCTTTCTGAGTTTATGACGCTAGAATAAGACTTTCACAGTAATGAGGTATAATATAATGAGATATAAGATCATGAAGTATAATATCACGAGATAATTTTCTCTTCGTAGGTCAAAGACATTTACTCAATTGGTATTAAATGCCCTAGTTTTCTTGCCTTTGGCCATAAAACACACCCTAATGCATTAATTTTTCCCAAGCTATTTTCCTTTACTAAAATGTATTATTAGTCATTTGGTGTAGTTAATTATCACACCATGATAATGTCAAGGTCTTTGAAATTATTATGTGGCAGTACAGACTTACTATCTTATAAATGGCAATAAATATCTTGCTAAAATTGAAGCATTACACAATTGCTTTATTCTGACTGTGCAACCTGGAGACCCACCTTGTGAACTCAGCAGTACTGAGACAAGAATTAGATACACTCACTACCATCTTGCCAACAGAGCAAAGCAGGCAAAACCTTCCATTGTAAAACTTCCGTTGTGTTTTTTTATAACCTTCAAAACTACTCAGTGTAAGCAGAATTGAATGTATGTAGGCAACTTAACAACAGACTTCAACAGCAATTATATTTTAATGCGTACGCGCTCCTGTACCTAACAGTATGCTTCAGTCTCAATCTACAAGAGAAGTTTAGTTTTGGAATACTCATACTTTTTTCCACTTCTCCCTGCCACCCCGAAATACCTAGGACAGCCCTAGTCACTGACCAGGCACATCCATCCCCTATTCTTCTTGTAAAGCCATTAGGTTTTTTTTACTGCACTTTACCTAAATAAGAACTTGTAAGATGCCACCATTAAGATCCAAAGTTTACGAAACACAACCTCAGTGACAGTTCTGTTAGCTTAGTTGTCAGTTCATCATACGTTTTCCTTCTGTCTAAAATAGTCAAAGGTTAATTTTAATAAAATCAGTGCCCCTTTAATAAAGCACTGCAGGTTAAAAGAACTTTAAAAAGCAAGTAAACAAAATCAAATAAATAACAAAGAGCCTGCTCAAATATTTCCAGGATTTACAAAAAGCTGAAGTACACAATTTATATGCTGAAGCAAGAGGGAAGTAAATTTCACAAGATAAGCAGAACACATTTTTCAAGCTAGCATTCATTTAAATGAAGTACTGAGCACAGTAACTCCACAAACACCACATAGAGCAGGTCTTAAAATATCTTCCCATCTCACCTACCCATTACCTTGCTTCTCGTCTTTCAAAACTCCTCAGTTTGCACTTACACTTTCTTACATTACCTCCTCTACAAACTTTCTTGTTTCCTATTTTTGATTCAGCAAAAATATAAATTACTCTTAGTACATTCTCCTCAATACTATTCTATTTCAAATAAACCATTCACCTACAGACTCCTACACCCATATTCATTCTTTGATGACATTTCAAATGAGTTTATCTCACCTACCCCTACACATTTCATGAATTAGACAAAAAAAAACAACAAAAACAACACAACCCAGCAAGTTTCCATTTATCAGCTTCAGATGATGTGAAACCAAAAGGCTTTCCATACCAGCACTACCCACAGATCAATAGAGAAAGGTTTCTATTCCCTGTGCATTAGTACTATGATTACAGTAAGGTTTGGGGCCCAACACAGTATGAGTTCTACTAATAAGAGCCAATAGACTTCCAGTGCTTTTGCATTGCTACATAGTCCACATATCTTAAGTACTGTGGTAAAGAGGTGAAAGAGCTGTGGTGTAAAAAGTGAATTTCAGTTAACTGAAAAACAAGCAATTATAACGCACCCCAAACAGAAACTGTCTTCCAGCAGAGGGATGAGAGTTTATCACAGTCAGACCATGAGCTTTCTTTACGACGTAAAATATAAGTTGCATCAGACTATGCAACTACATACAACTTACAGTGCATTGCTTCAGACTGTTTAGACATGACATGGTAATCCAAGAAATAAGCTGTCATTTTAACAAATAAAATAACGCATGCTTGTACTGGAATAAATGTATTCTATTTACAAAGATTTTTACTTTCACCATAGAAATCTTGTTCATGAAAGGAATACAGCTAGACATGCACAAAAAAACTCAAAATCAGGGCATATATCACATATCTTTATACTGAATAAGAAATATGACCTGGGAAGGGCAGAGGACATTTCCTGTAATTACATTGTGGTCAAACAAAAGATTAAGGTTAGTTATTATCTTAAGAAAAGAAAAAAAAAAAAGCACAAATTAAGTTTGATAAAATTGGTCATACACATACTTACTCAGATAAACTACTATATTAGGAGAAAAAACACCTGCACATTTATCTTCCTATATACATACAGTAGAAGGTAATACAAAGCTAATGAAGTAGACTTAACTCATAACAAGCACATCTAAAAATTTCTCTACAATAACATTAAAGTTTACACTACATATTTTTGTACCTGCAAGCAAGGTTAGGGTCAACATTCCTTGACAGAAGTAGTTCTACGGTCTTCAAGATCTTTTTCTCTGAAGCATCAGCAGCACAGGCTGCCATGAGCACCGTGTACTTATCTGTTTTGAAACTCACAGTTAGAAAATTACATACATAAATTTAAATACCATGCAAATCCAAAAGTTTCTTTAAAAGCCTTAACATTTGCTAGAGCTCTTAATCAGGTTCTGATAAACTAAGATACTCAGAAAAAGGTAAACTTGTTTTTCTTCCAGCAAATGTCACTAGAATTATCATTTTAGATGGAAGCACCAAATAAGAGAAGAAGACTGGAGTCAATGAATGTAGCAGAGCTTCCATCTCTACTGAAGGTGAGGATGCTGCTTAGCTACCCCCCAAAAAAACCTGCTGAAGCTTAACTTTAGGTTCTTGTTTCTCACATCTTGGTCTACACCAGTAGCTTCATTATTCCCTGTTCCTCCCCACCTCTTCCCAAAACACAATCAAAGAAGAAACAATTTACAGGAAGTCAAAAAAAACAAAACACATAGCAATGTAAATTTTAGGCAGAATAGAGATCCATCGAAAGGGCAGTTGAAACAATAAGGTCTTTATGAAATGGCTTAAGGAAATCAGTTTAAGAACTTTGACGGCTTTTATGCAGCAGTGACAGGAGAAAGACGGCAAAAAAGGAACGTTTTTTTTAAATGTTCTTTAAATTCACATCTGTATAATACATGAGATTGAACAGGAGAGACCAGCGTATTTAATCCAGCTCTGAAGCCAACAGGGCGCCACAGGATCACTCTGCTCATGAAGCAGAACTGCACACCACCGCCGTTTGTCCAGAGAACAGAGATCATTTTTCCTACAGTCTTCCTGCAGATGAACCTCAGCCAGGACCTCAGTGAGCTCTCTGGCTCTAGAGTCAGTTAGGAGACCGCTGTTTGAACAACTGCTCATTTTGCTTATTGCATAAACCTGCATACAAGTTCAAACATGCCTCTAACAATTTAACCAGCATAATGTTGACTGCACATACTTCTGATCATACCGTGAAGCGTTCCAATGTATTCTCTCTTCCCTGTTAAACCTGAAGATTGTGTATGCACTAACACCTTTGTCAGATGAAATCAGATTTTATTTGAGACGTTTCTTCTGTGCTTCACCTCAATCTGCTCTACTTCTCACGATTTCTTGTCCCTCACTACTCCAATCTAAGACCTTGTGTTCAAATTCACCTTGGTTTTTGTACACAATCTTGTAACTTTCAACTATGTCATGTAAAATTGTACCACGTATAAACAAAAACTTCAGCATGTTACACAAAAAAATCAAGTTTCATGGAGTTAAAGTCCTGAACAAGTAATTAACATTTCAGGAAATTATATAATGCACTGACAGATTCTTAGTCAAATGTTTAACCCATTATCAACAATAACATGAACTGAAAGGCTGGCAGGACTTCGAAAAAAAGACAGCAACAAACATTATTAATTTGGGAATTATATTTAAGAGGAAACTGTAGTTATATTCATACTCAGTAGTTCAGAATATGAACTACTCTCCTTGCACAAAGGAGAGGAAGTTGATTCCTGTGCGCTTAACTGTAGCTCATGCAACACACAGGTTTCTCTTTTGTGCAGAAAAATTAGTAAGAGACTGCAAAAGTATCAGTCTGTATGATTAGCTGAAAAATCCTGAAGACATGGTGAATTTACACCTCAAAGACACTACATTCTGATCTCACTGCATGTGAGTATTACATCCAGTTCCTTGTTCTTCATGACTACCAACTCATTCTACTATTTGGGTAAAATTAAGCAACCAGCTTACAAAGAATAACCGTAATGCAGCGAGAGTTAATTAACAGTATAGCTACTATTAGATTATAAGGTTATAGGACTGTTAGTATAGAATCACTGCTGATACAGAACAACCAGGACTGGCAACACTCCGTACATCAGGATGGCATAGCTTTCTCAAACACATTTGGATTTATATGTAACAATGACTGGCAAGACTGCTCCCGGCTGGACAGTATTCCATTGTGCGTATGCCCTAGCTACTGTTTCCCCGCACAGACAAGCAGGGAAACCAGCTAAGAAACCTGATCCCAACTGGTCACACACTGAAGAAACGCCACATATGTTGGTTAACTGGCTGGCTGAAACTGCTGCCCAGTTTCTGCCCAACATTTAGCTTTCTACAACCAAAAATACTGAACAGGTATGAGCTGCAGGCAGCCACACGGAAGCCCTCTATTGTTGACTACAAGGACATTTAGAAGCACAACTGCTTTTTGTGCAAGCAATCAGAGTTCATACTCTGATCAGCTCCTAAGAAGTTCAAGAAAAATTTAAAGCCAGATATCTACCATCTGCACTGCAGTTTACTACTTCTTTTACAAATGCTGGCAAGCTACTGGAATGTAAGATCACTGTTTTATGTACTTCACAACGTTGCGTCCTTTGTCAGCATCATCTGTATTGTGACGTCCTTTCCTGATCTTCCAACACAGTGAAACAGAAAGAAAATACTGCAGTTGAAGTAGGAAAGCCTTATTAATAAGCTGTAAAAACTGACAGAGGAGCTGGTATTACCTAGAAGTTCCACTGAACTCTTGCAGAAAAACCTGATCCAGAAACACAACGAAGAATAGTTTTCACTTAATATAAAACTTGTCCTCTAGATTTAAAAGTCCGCATTTGTTCCTTATTAATTAGACAGCTATTCCAGTAGACAGTTTATTTCTTCAATTACTGCCCAGAGGAGGAGAATTACTGTTCATCATCACCTTGCAAAACTCACATTTGACCTGCTTCTGAGACTGCTAGGGTGCAGTCAGTAAAAAATAATTAAAAAAAAAATAATCCCTATTAACTATTAATCTAAAATCCACTATGTATTTTTACTTTAGTCTGAAAGAAGACACACTGCACTCATATGGACAGGTCACCTGGCATGTTTGAAAGGGCAGTGCTGAGTGGCTGGAGAGCAATAAACTGGTACAGTTGAGCAGAGAAGAAAAGCACATGTGGCCTTAAAGATGAATCCCTAACTCATATCCAGTTGGAAAGCTGAACAGAAGAATCATTACATTTTTGAGTAAACAAAAATTTGTTAGATTTAGAAGGGATGAGATAACGTAATTGTGATAAATTTAAAAACAGTGGGCACCAATTACAATTTGGGATTCCAGCTGTTTCCTGCAGTACGTACTACATAACAGGACATTCTAACTCTAAAACTTCATGGGAGAATTTTTGAACAAGTATTTCCAAGCTCCATTTTTAAAGAAGCACTTGGGGATTGAGAGGTAGAAGGGAGACAGAGAAAAAAGAGAAAGAGGGAACAAAAAAAACTCTATTAACTGAACCAAGAACAGATCCAAGAACAGATCCAAGAACACATTTTTTTTAATTTAAACCTACTACTTTTAGTTCAAAATTAGGAAATTTAGAGTGTGAACTTGGATTTTTTTCCTACATATATACAAAAAGAGAACAAGGGTAGGACAGTGTTTGTTACTGAGAGGTATTGGATGCTAAGTTTCATTTATATCTTACCTATTTCAAAACACGCATTAGCACCTCTGTCCAGAAGAAGACGTACTACTGCATCATCAGCCACACTGGCAGCATGCATCAGGGGAGTCCATCCAAACCGAATGCTAGCTTCTATGTTTAACCCTGTCAAAATTAAGATGCTAAAATTTTAAAACTACACCAAAACAAAGATGCATTTTGTAATCCTCATTCCAATGTGTTGTTATCAAAGTTACACTCCTTTTGCACACAGACCTAGTGAGAGGACTTGCACATTATGTTTTCATTTTATATATACAACTTCACCTGGAACATCAAAAAACAACTTTCAGAACTGACCCTAAAGAAGCCTAGCTCTCAATGCAGTTAATGCACAAATAGGAAAATTACATTGAACAAACACATATGTGATAAATCTAGCTGCAAAAATAATTCCAGATTAGTACACACTTACATTCTACAGCTTTACCTCAATCAACCCCTTCCCACCATTATTTTCATTCTTACCAAGCTGTGGTAGAACCAACTTGCTTGTCATACCACTAGTACCACACTAAGGTTTTCCTACTTCATAGCTCCTTTTAGTCTCTGCTATCCAACGTAGCTAAGCAGCAAATACCAGTTTTTTGCATTCCATACTAACAAAATATGAGCTTAACAGAAGGAAACAGAGGATAATGCCAGATTCAGTCAAAATCACAAGTTCTGTCTGTCAATCAGTATAATGGCAAGGCCACAGCTTCTCCTGGGGGTAAAACTAAGCTTGACAGACTACCCTCCCAAATTCATCAAAAACTAAGTGCCAGACCCAGCAACTTATCTAACAACTTTCAAATAAAAACCTCTGTAGACATTCATAGTAAGACGAATCACTCCTTCAATAATTCCTCAAATATTATTTCCTCTATAGCACTTAGTTTCCATCTGCTGATTCCATGTTAGTCAAACATTTGATTATGAACAATTAAAACTACTTTTTTTTTTTTTTTTTTACAGTAGACAGTTGTGGGAAAAAAATGCTATCCTAAAAAACTTCTGGTAGTTGAGCTATCTGCATATTTCTTCATGCAGGATGTGTATTTACTTTCCCTGCCTTGGTGGCTTGTCAAAGATGCAATCAGTGTAAGCATCATGAAGTCATTAAAGCTGAGGAAGTAAAAAGTCACTGCTCTAGGATTGATTCTTTAACTGTTCAAGATAAGGAGTTGTATAAGGAATCAATAAGGAGGAAACATTCAATGAATGCTAGTATTGAACCATTTTTACTCCTGCTAGCCAGATAACCTATGACCAGATACATATATATATATACAAACTACAATCTTCACTGCCATAGCATTACAGTTTGTGTGCAGTACACAAAACATTTCATTGTTCTCCACATCCAAGTTCTATAGGGAGAGCCAGTAAGTCACACCTGAACTTCCCTTTAGACAAATCACTTACGAAGTTAGGAAGTTTGATATCCAACAGTATCAGGAGTAGAAAAGGAAAATGGAAAACTGGCACTCATAGCATAAAGAAGCCACTTTCCCTCTTTTGAGGAAAAGTAGTCCAAGCAACTACAACTCCCATCTAGAGCTTTTTATTTTAATGTGTTTTTAAATAATAGTGACAAAATATCTACCTGGCAGCCATATAGAGACTTGCTAAAACACCTGTGATAGTGTTTTCCTCATTGCTTTATTTATGTATATAGCAGACAGTATTTGCCACAGTGCTTTTCCCAAGTCTAGGAATGCTCTCACTTGCAATTGGACACCAAAGCCATCACTATGCTATCTTCAGTTGATGACACCACTGACAAATGGGCACCCCAGCTCATAGACTCAGTTTATTTGAGGGACAAATTATAAAACCTGCCCAACCCTGACCACTGCAGGAGGTTCTGAACTTTTGAACTTTAAGAACCTAAACCATTCCACAATTCTTTGAAAACAACTGGTACAGCAAAATTTCTCTTCTGTTAGAAATACTCATTTCTTTGAAGTCCGTCAACACTTAGCACTGTGGCTCCACAATACCTTAAAGCTGAGCGAATAATCAAAGCTGCTGATGGCTCTCATGCTGGGGGAGCTATGGTTCCCATCTGACCTGGGATTCAAGTCCCAGACTGGCTGGAAAACTGTTCATTTTTTCTCCCCCTACACAGCTTGCTATTGTTTATTGTCTGAACACCCTTCCATGTGGACAGATAAGCTCAAAGACAAATGCAAAGACAGGACTGGAAGAGACTACTGAAAAAGCAGGAGTGACTGTAGTTCCATCTTCAATCAGTTTGATCTGCTAAAAGGTCCTCCTAATTTTCAGCTCCATTTAAAAAAAAAAAAAAAAAAAAAAAAACAACTTATGGATTACACAGTACTATTTTACTTCCAGAGCAGATTAAAATGCCAGAGTCATCTTTGCACCTTCTACTTCTTTGCATTAATTTTTGACAACATACACTTCAGAAGACTGTTCCCAGAGGGTTACCATTTTAAAAGAGGGATAGGAGAAGACATGGCACTTGTCCATCTCCTCAAGGAGCTCTATGAAACTCCCTCAGCACTACTGATTCTTAGAGCTATCATTATGCAAGGCAAAAGACAACATGTTCTTGTTCTGCCTGAAAGAACATCCATAACTGTTGCTAGGATATCCCCTTCAACACAAACCTGGAGTCAGAGCACACCTTGCAAGACTCCTACAAGCTTTACTGAACATAAACTAAAGCCAACTTCAGACGCAAAGATTTCATCTGACTAAGGACTGAACCTCTAAAGGACGATGTTACCTTCCTTCAGAAACACCTCCCTCTCAGAAAGGCATTACGTTGTACTGCTCAGAAGATCCTGTACTGCACACGTCAAAACTACTGTTAATTATCATCGTAGAAAATGCACAGATTCTCTTGTAACACTCCACTGTGTATTTTAGGGGACAGGACACCAGACTACAGGGATCTCTGTCTTGACCTTACGTTCCTGTAATCATCTTCCAAACTGACAGCTCATTATGTGGCAGGCATCAATGCAAAGGTTTGATCTGAGCTATTATTATTTCTCTGATGTACGAGCAGTTAAAAATGGCCAAATGTAGCAAAACAGTTATTCAATCTAATGCACAGATATCACTAAAAATTCTAAATAAGAACAGTTTTTTTTCAGTGTAGGACTGAAGATGTATTTCAGTCACTACTATTAGCTTTGACTTAATACTGATGTAAACAAAAATTACTCCAAAAGGCAAGTAACATCACTGCTTTAAAACTCAGAAAAAAAGTGCTAACTAAAAACCTACTTTTCCCCAAGCATAAGACATTTTCTAAGAGAACAAACTCTAGGCTACTATATTCTGCTTGCTTGCTGAAGCAGAACTTCCTGATAATTAGCACTAGGCAGGTCAACTCAGTTTCACAGCTACTGATTGCCCTGGATGCTTCAACTAGTGATCCAACTCTCTTAACACTAAATAGCAGAAACACTACAGAGAAATACTGAGTAAAAGAAAAGGGAAAAAAAAAAAGGTTTTAGAGTTAAAACAAACAACCTTTCACAGGCAAATGCCACACAAATGCTATTATACCCTCAGGAATCACAAAAACTTTGTCCAGCTGATGTTGCCAAGACAGCAGCATTACACATGGCACGTACAAGCAATGTAACAATTTTGTGAGTAAAAAAGACATGGAATTCCCAAACTGAAGCTATATGTTTTTTTTAAAACTTCTAATGTCCCACTTCACAACACTCAAGGTAAGAAAGAACACGCACTGAACTCTGAATATCAATTTAAAATACCTCAATTTCAGTGTTTGTAATGGATTTTTCAGCTAAAGATATGCTTGAAAACAAAGAAACACTGTATTTCATTGTATATACACCATAACTTTCCCAGTTTTCAGGACTCCTGATTGACTAAGTAAATATAAATTAGAAGGAACCTCCTGAAGTATATCATGCTGATATACTGAAAAAAGTAATTTCATTCCACATTCCATATTGGAAACATTCACATATTTCTACATAAATCCCAGACATTGCTTTGAAGCAAGGAACTTCAAAGCTTTAGAATTCTTTCCAAGTTCAATTAAATATATTCAGATTCCTATTTGACTTTCATCACCTGAGTTTAAGAGTTCTTCAATAAGCAACACATCACCACTTGTCAGAGCTTTCTGAAATGCATCTTTCTTGTCTGCTGGCGGCACCTGATCCAGCTGCTAGACAGAAAAAGAAAAATTAAGTCAAAATATGGTAACTGTTTCAAGGTAAAATTAACAGCTGAATTTCAGTGTAAAAACATTAATGATCTCTGTGAGCACACAGGAGCAGGGGTTGAGCAGTAGAGAATAAAAACATAGTAAGAGTCTCCTTCGTATACTTCTGTAGACCTGCTCTACTAAAAAAAAAAAAAAAAAAAAAAGTTTTAGGATTGCATTTTTTCAGAAAGGCTCCAATTCTCCGAAAATATAACTAAATTGCTTCTCAATGGATGAGCTATCCTCATACAGCACACTAAGTTTTTCTCAAAGGCGTTTCATTTTAATTAGGACTCCTTTTGTAGAATCATAGATCCTTACAGCTGGAAGGGACCTCTGAAAGCCATCTTCCAGAGAGTCCAACTCTCCTGCAATGAACAGGGACACCACAGCTACATCAGGTTGCCCAGGGCCTGATCCAGCCTCGCTTTGAAAGTCTGCAGAACAACACCGCAATGTCTTTACTTTTTTTGCACATCTCACATACTGCAAAGAGCACAAAAACCAAATCCACTACAAGCAGACATAGACGTAGCAATCTGAGGCAGTGCAGCACAATGGTTATCACAGAATTGTAGGGGTTGGAAGGGACCTCCAGAGATCATCGAGTCCAACCCCCCTGCCAAAGCAGGTTCCCTACAGCAGATTGCACAGGTCGGCATCCAGGCAGGTCTTGAACATCTCCAGAGAAAGAGACTCCACCACCTCCCTGGGCAGCCTGTTCCAGTGATAGGCATTGGCTTAACCCAGAGCTGAATCCGCTGCTAGAAAAGTCACTGCTCCTACTGCTGTGGGGGCTGAGGAATTTGTGTTGCTGCGTCATAAATAACTCACCTAAAAAAGGATTTGACCAAAGGTCCAGTTTATGAATCGGACTGTTGCCTGATTTATGTCCCTTTCACATGCGTGTCACACTGTTTGTTTTAGATTAAAGCTGCAGACGCAGATTGCTGCAAGCATCACCCAAATTACCCACTATTAATACAGCAATAAATTAAGGATAACTCAGTAGTTTCTTTGCAAATAGGAGACAAATTTCATAGATCGTTCTGAAGGTGTATTATGACAGGTCAGAATTACTCAACATACTGTCATAACCTCTCCCATAACTTCTATAAAGCGATAATTATTAAGTAATTAACGTCTACCAAACTGATGACAAGAACCAAGCAATAACATAATTCAGACCTATTTCCAATCCACTTAACCAACAACTTCCACTTCCTGCATACGGCCGGATGGGAACCTTGCTGTAAGACCAAGGCCAAAGACCCGAGGACAGCCTGCAACAACGACGGCTCATTTCCAGCACACGCCCAGCTCCAGCGGGGAAAAAAAAAAGCCACGCATGTCTCCCCGTTCGAAGCCCCGCCGAGGCCGCCCGCGCTCGCTGCCTCCCTCCCCACAAGCCGCAGCCGGCAGAGGCGCTCCGCCCGACCTGCGTCCCCCGGCACGCCACGCCGATATCCCAGCAGTCCGCATCGTCGCTGTCGTAGTCCTCGTCGCCCCCCGCCGTGACGCGGCAGCCCCACACCGCCGCGCACATGGCGAAGCCGCCGACCCAGCACGCGCCCACGGCACGAGCTTCACTGACGTCACGGCGGCGCCGAAGGGTCACGTGGCCGCGCCGTCTTTCCGCGCGACGCGAGCCGAAGGCTGTAACCGTCTGCGCGCTGCCGTGCGGGCGAAGCGGGGGGCGGGACCGAGCGCGGTGAGCCCAGTGTTGTGTTCTTCCGCCTCAGTGCGTGCTGCTCGTCTCAAAAGCGTGGCTATGCTTTTTAGAGTGATGATGACACGTTGTCTGTAACAGGGTTCACGGGAATCGCAGAGTCGTAGGGGTTGGGAGGGACCTCATTGAGAGGATCATTGAGTCCGACTCCCCTCTAAAGCAGGTCCCCTGCAGTAGAGTGCAGGAAGGCAGGTTCTGAGTATCTCCAGAACGGGATACAACCTGTGGGCTGTAACATGAAGCTGCTTCAAAAACGGACGAGGAGCCATATGTTATATTCTACCCATAAGCACAACAGTGCTTTGAGCTTGGTGCAGAACTTGCCTGAATCTGAAGCGAGTTTGGTCTTCCGCTAAAAGACAACAGAAGGGAAGAAGGCAGGGCTTGCCAAAGAGGCATGTGATGCTGTGCAGGACATCACAGTCCTTGAGCCTCACACAGCAGAAAAGTTCATTTTCGGGAACTTGTTTTTAACCAAAGTGTCACTTAGATAGAAGGTGGCTGCAAAGTGCTTCTTCTTACGTTTTGTCTTTCATAAAGAGCAGTGCAAGGCGCTGCCTTACTTTGTAAGTGCCTTGCTGTGTAAGGCAGCTTTCCCCAAAACACAGATTTGTAGGTTAGCTAGAACTTTCTTACAACATACAAAAAACTCCCCAGTATTCAAAATAATAATAACAATAATCATCTAATCATCATCATGATATATGTGTTCCGGTGTTCCACTCATGAATTCCTGATTTTTTTATTATTATTATTATCATTTTTAAGTTGCTTTTCTCTAATATGAGAGAATAGTTGTGTAACTTCTTTGGAGCTGTGCAGGCCTACCAGTCTTCCAAATTATGGACTCCAGACCCAGAATGAGGCTTCTGTAATATTTTTTCTTTGGCTCAGCTGTGTTAAGAAATAGGAGCTTGCTAATAAAATTTGCACCCCTAGCTGCAGAACTTTAGAAACAATGGAGGATGCCTTTTTACTACTGATCTGATGAGTTTGAAGGGCAGTTCTAACAGGTTATGTTACTATCTGTAGATTCCTTATCTTTTACACTGCTGCTTATTCACTGCTGAGTACTTGATGTGATGTGTTTGTCCAGCTTCAGGTTTCAAAGATTGAGTTATGTTGCTTTTTTCACCCATTTTCTATGTGCCACCTCTGGTATGATTAAAATGTCACAACACTTCAGATGCAGCCTACGTGCTGCTTCATTGTTCAAAGGCCTCCTCTTTTAAAAGGTCAATTCCAGTAACAGCCCTGATGGTCCCTAATGCTACAAAAAATAAACCCTTTTGAAACATCGGTGTGCAAGAGCCCTGCAGTCAGTGCACCTGACAGCTGATTCAAGTATGAATATTCTGATAAAGCAGAAACTTCTGTCAGATAACCTCTCGCTGTGTGTCTGCATGGAGCTGTGAATCAAACATTGCTGAGGATGTGGATGCTCCCTCTTAACGCTCTTCTTGCTCTTGTCCATTTGTGACCTTGAAGCCTGTCTTCAGTGTTTCAGCAGAGCAGACTCTTCATTGTGGTTTCCAGTGTGGTAAGTCCTGGCTGCCATCCATGTTTGCCAAGTATCAGTGAGTTTTAACTTATTTGGTGAGAGCAGTTCCCAGCATCTTTTCCTTGTTGCTATGCTGTACGCATTTTACATGCAGGAGGCAATTACAAAATGGTTCCAGCTGGGAAAACATCTCAGGATAATTTCCTGTATCACGCAGGGCATCAGAAAAAGCACAAAAAGCCAACTCTTACAAAATGAAACCATCTACTCTACATTCAGCCTAGCTCCATGTACTTGTATGTTAGCCTATATTACATATACCTCTTAACATTATGGTTGGTGGTAAGAATTGCAACCACTGGATGCAGTAAATAGCATACACTGTTACTCTAATAAAGAATTTCATTAATATACTGTCAGCCTGCTGCCACCCTTCTTGCTGGCCATACTTCAGCATGTCTTCGTTTATCAGCTGAATTCTTATTCCATGACCTGTTGTTGAATAGATTTCATTCGTTGACTGAATTTCTTCTGTATTTTTTCCTGTTCCTCGTGTTTTGTCTCACACTGGACTGATGTACGTATAGATACTCGTTCTAACATGGTTGCCAGAGTATTTCAACTAGTTTAATTCCCTCAGTTTCAGACCAAAAGGTCTAAAATGAGTAAATGTTTAAAGACTTTGATGTTGGGAAAGTAGCGTTCTTGAGAGGAGAATCAGAATTAGTAAATGTTTAAAGAGAATGACTCTGTGAACCTTAACTGCTGCAATAATGTTCTACTAACTGCACAGCAGCTAACACTTTAGAGATTTAGCAGCAATTGCATTTTAGTGGCATTCTATGTAATATTCTCAATTACAGGTACTATTCTGAGTAAGACTATGCCCCTTCAGAATTATTCTTACATAATTTCCATCTGCAGTAACACTACAATACAGAATCACTGAGTTTTTGCAGAAAATAGTGTTAGCTGGATATGACTCTAACAAAACCTAATTGAACTGTGGAATAATTGATAAAAGGTCTTGAACCCATTCCTTTTGTGTTCTACCCTAAGGTGAAGTGCATCTAATAGGTTGGTGCAGACCTATTAGTGCTATTTTGGTCTGCACCAAAAATTAAAATACTGGATAACTGTAATGTTCTCATCCCACAGAGGACTAGCAGTTCTGGTTCTAGTGGACTGACTGATTTTGATTAACTGCACAGCTAGGGGTTGGTGAATTACTAGCTCTAAGGGACACTAGTGCTAGTTCCACGATTAAGGGCAGAGTGTCATACAAGAATTTACAGAATCTGCAGTAAGTCCTAGGAGGTAGCACAGTTGAGTCTGTCTTCACAAATCGCATTCATAAAAATTGCAAAACAAAGTACTTCATAGTAGCTTAGGTTTTCCCCATCCTTTTAAGTACATTTTATATATATATATATATATATATATATATATATCTGTAGCATCTTTTCCTCTTAAGGTACTTCAGGTATAAAGGAAGACTAATGCTACAAATATTCTCTTTCACCTCAGACTGGAAGGCATTTATTCTGTAAAAAACACTTACATGTCATTTCTTTGATCTGTGAAATCAACCTTTGCATTAAAAAGTTTGAGTTTTGCCATCCTGAAATTTTGTTATTAGCTACTGCACGGCAGCAAATTGAATTATTCAGTTAAGTCGTTGCTCTAATAGACTTACAATAGGTGGAAAGCATTTTATTTCAGCTGTTTTGCTACTTATTACTGATTTTTTACAGCTGTGTTCATTCTGTCCACTTAGCCAAATCTCTCTGGGTAGTACACGATATACATTTTTTATCTGCTGCCAATAAATTGCGGACTGTAAATTGCATGCCAACTGCTTTCCTGCTAACAGAACTTTTTTTTTTTTTTTTTTTTGGTAAAAGCATTAAGCCAGTGCCAAAATAAAACTACATAAACTAGTAAGTGATGGGGAATTTGTAGGTGCAGTGTAAACAGGAGTATTTTCAGGACCACCTTGGTGCTTGTGTCATGAAATGCCTCTTTTTACTCTAGTAAAGCCTAAAAAAAGCTAGAACAGGAATTGAAATATTGAGTATATGTGTATATATGCAAATATGAAAAGTCAGGTAAGTTTTAGTTTCTTTCTGTAGAAGCTTTGGTCTGTATAGCAAGTCTGTGTCAGAGTGGTTCCTGGTGCAACTGGGTGCATCCTGTCAATCAAAAATTCCTAGTTCCTCCATTATCTCTAGTCCTTTCTACACTATTTCTTCCCCTTAATCTGAACTGCCTGTCCTCTTGCTTCATTATCACGTGGAGGGTGAGTAACTTCTCTGTTTCAGTCTATTCACTTCACTTTCTGCTGACCCTCTGGCAGCCGTTTGTATCATATAATCTCGTAGATGTTTACGCATACTAATAGCTGCTTAATGATAAAGTAAGTGGTGCTATGAACTTTCTGTCTCACCTCACCGTCTTGCTTTTTATCAAGACTGAAGGTTATTCAGATATTTCAGTGTTTTCATTAATGTAATATTTTTGCTACAAACTTGTTTTACGCTTGATCAATTAATCTTAATGCCCACACAAACGTCCTCTAGGCAGTGACAATAGGAATGTATTGAAGGCTAGATTAGAATAGGAAATGAGATTGTCACATCAGGCAGTGTTTTTGTATTTTATATAGTTGTAGTCCTGTGAATATTTGAAGTAAGCCAATTGCATTGTGGTTAAACATAATGAAATATGATGCATCTGTCATTCCACAATAGATTTTTCTAGAATGTCTGTACGTAAGTCACTCCCAAAGTAGGTTGATGGTCACAAGAGTATTAGTATTATTCAAAGTATCTTGTGGATAAATTATAACTTTACTTAATATTTATTTAATATTCATGAGGTTTTATCAACTTCTTGATACTGACATCTATAAACATGTTGACAAGGTTTTATTGCTCCAACACATATCCTGTATCTGCAGTAGAGGGATAGGGCTGAAGGTGGTGATGATAGAATGGAGGGACTTGCTCTTAAGAGGATAACTGGAACATTTCAGTGTTGCTTGTAGTTGGTTTATTTCTTTTTTCTTCTTGTTATGCCAACAAGTGAGAAGCTATTATGTGTGTACAAGGAGTAATAACTTAGGGAAATGTTGCCACTTTGTTGGACTTTCAAGAGTCTGTGGGCTGAAAGGGCAACAAAAGAGAATTGCTTTGGGTGACAATGATAGAAAGTATTTAGGCACAACAATCAACTTCATCCTAAAATGTGAACGGTTTCTGCTTTAGAAAGTGAGTTTTGATGGTTCAGAAATGAAGTGTGAACACAAGTGGTTTGA